GATCTATGACATCATGAACTGGCGGTGGCTTCCTGATGGAGGAGCTAAAGTTCACAGTGTGGGTGAGGTTAAGAAATCCGCCTCTAAAGGTGAAGAACTCACACTTCATGATGACAAAATCTTCTGGAACTTTGAATCCAAACAGGTAAAATATATTTGTTGTTGTTTATGCTCTTGTATTRTATGACATACATTATAAGAATCAATTAGTGTAGAATAACTGTTGTATGATGATGAGTGCAGCCTCCTCAGTCAGTGTGCAGTGAGAGCTGTCCTCCAGGAACYCGCATGGCCAGAAAGAAGGGCGAACCTGTGTGCTGTTTTGACTGTGTCCCTTGTTCTGAGGGAGAGTTCACAAATGAAACAGGTTGGTATCARTCTAATRTTATAAAATACCATCATATATTATCCATCCATCAATGCATTAYCTATACCGCCTACCCTTTGAGGGGGAGGGACGGGCTGGAGCCAATCCCAGTTTACATTGGGTGAGAGGCGGGGTACACCCTGCACTGAAAAAAGAAGATTGTTGGACCAACTTAAAAAGATTACTTCAGTTGGTAACACACACAAATTAAGTTATTTTAGCTTAAAATTACAAGTTATATTAACACAATTACTAACTTTAGTTGAAAGAACTGAACTGAGAGTTACCAGAAGAGTAAGTGTTTTTAAGTTGGCAACAGACTTTCTTGCAGAAAAAAGATAAGTTCCTTGTTTTCTTCTGTAGACTCCATGGAGTGCACCAGCTGTCCAGAGGACTTCTGGTCCAGCCCCCAGCATGACCACTGTATTCCAAAGAAAACAGAGTTCCTCTCCTACCAYGAGCCTCTGGGTATCTGCCTGACAACCGCCTCACTGCTGGGCACGATTATCTCTGCTGTCGTCCTGGGCATCTTCATCCATCACCGCAGCACACCCATGGTGCGTGCAAACAATTCCGAACTCAGCTTCCTGCTCTTGGTGTCACTCAAGTTCTGCTTCCTGTGTTCACTACTTTTCATCGGACGACCCAGAGCATGGACGTGCCAGCTGAGACACGCAGCTTTTGGCATCAGCTTTGTTCTTTGTGTGTCGTGTATCCTGGTTAAAAC